TCAGATTGGTGTATAGTTAATTTTGGGACACGTGCCTCGTCTCCGCCGGGAATGGGATTATATAACACTTGGTCATTTATACGATAAAACATTTATACTACTTTAATAAAAAGCGAGCACACTTCGTAATGAGATTCAGAGTCTAAGCCCCTTCCACCACAAGGGAGCACACCCTCCTACCCCGGGGGCCAACATGACATACCCTCACTCCAATACTAGCACGAGCCACCGGCAAGTCCTCCTTACGTTGACTAGGGCCCAATGTAAATAGCACGAACGATGCGATACTCGTCCAATAATAAATTTTATTGGAAACAAGGGGTGACATAGACATCAATCGATTATTGGTTCTCTTAGTCCAGATCTTCACACCCAACCGTTGAACCACCCGCGGAGATCATTTATCACTTCATCAGATTTAAAGTAGTAAAGTTAAAGTTGAGGGCTACTAGCTCGTAAATTACGGAGTTGGCTCACGGCTGTCAACCGTTCACACCTGAAAATTTGTCTGAGATATAATCGAAGTCGTAACAATTGGTGAAAAAAAAAATCTTACAGAGGTAACTGTTATCTTACAGAGGTAACTGTAAAAACTAACTTAATCAAGATTTTTGGATCCGAATTCAGTTGATTTGTCAATATATGAAATCCTACTCAATTTCCTTTCGCATACCAGTTGCTTACTCGGAACCATTCGCTTGTATATTTTGATATTTCGGGTAAGTATAGAAGTGATAATGTTATGTGGCTAATCATTACTGATAATTATCCATTAATATTGTTTATTACGTTCCTGCCTGTTTGTTCGTATTATTCAATAGTTATTCACGATTGTTCAATAATATAGCTTGATTAACAAAAACAAGCAAGTATTTGTTAAAGTAGTAACAAACAGAGCAATAGGAACCCGCCTCACACAATAAAAGCTAAAAAAAAAGGGGGAAACAAAATATGTTTCTTGCCAATAAAATTGTTTGGTAATAAAGAACAAGAAGTTCATCACATAACATAACAACAAAGTTAATACGTTTCCATTGTACTATATGAAAATTAAGAGATGGCAATAGAAAACATGTTCTCTTACAACACAAAAGAAAACATTCTTATTGTGATAATGACGCTTTTAATAGTAAACTTATTAAACAAACATTTGTCTCCATGACGTGACACAACCGAAAACATTCTTATTACAATAATGTCACCTGCTTTTAATAGTAAACTTTAGAAAATGAAAATTTGTGGGTAGAGCTCCTTACATTCTTATCATAGAGAACCTCTACAACTCATCAATCACATCTTCACACTAATTAGTAGACGCCATGAATAATATTCACTACACAAATTATATTTAAAGTTTGTTTAATTATGGGGTCTACTGAATGAGACAGTACTATTAATCAACATAACTAATTGTAGAAGTTTTCTATAATCAAGGATCGATCAGTGTAAATATTAATTGTCATATGTGAATATGAATATAATAATCGCACATTACAAAACCTTCTCGTAGTTTCCAAAAATTTGTAATCAAAGAGTAAAAAGAGAGTTGATAATAAAGCGAATCGTATATGCATCTGATTAAATTTTGTTCACTTATGAACTAAATATTAAAAATTATTTATTTACCATTGAATGGACTATTGAATCGAATATAACTGAATCATTAGGCGCACCATTTATTAATTATTCAATCAATTTCCACCTATAATAAAAGGTACTCGATCAGTAGAAAATCATAGGGATGGAGAATACGTGCCCAGTACGAATTTTAAATCAGCACATGAATTACATGAAATCCATGTTAGCAATAACATATCATTTCAAACAAAAAATTGAATATATTAGTGTAATCATCCAACTTTAAAATTAGAAGTAAGACTTTTTACGCCCGTTTGTTGGGTATCAACTCAAATTCCAAGTTAGTATAGTGTTTTTAATTCTTTGTGTAACTTCATGAGAATTAGATAGGGTTAGAGATCTATCATGATTAGAAGTTTGGATTTTATCATGATTAGGAGTTTGAATCTTATTCTAATTAGGAAGTTAGACTAGAGATAAGTTTTTGGTTTCCCTATATATATTCTTCTATTATTGGAGGAAAAACTAAGAAGTGTAGAGAGAAAGAGAGAGAGAGGGTTTGGCAATATTTGTCTGTGCAAAAGATTGTAATTTGGAGGTGATAGTGGATTGATTTTGATCTTGTAGTTTTTTCCTGTTGAGCGTTTTCCACGTTAAATCTTGTGTGATTTTATTTGCTGCGTTTGGTGGCTTTTCGGCGTTTTTGCGAAATCTAAAAATCTCTACAAGTGGTATCAGAGCGTGGTTAGAAAGTTCATGGAGATTCGAGCATCGCGATTTGCAAGGGCATTGGTGTTCGCGACATTGTAGCGGCGTCGTACTGTAGCAGATAGCCGAATAGTGTAGTGAGGCACTATTCACACCAGATTCGACGGTTGAGGTTACTTGGTATTTTGATCGAGGATTTGGAGGCGGATTTTGGTGATCCAGGAGTCATTCCTAGGGGTTTTCGACGTGCTGAGTTCATTTTTAAATTTTAATTGTGGTTAGAGGATGATGAGTTCTTCGGGTTAGAGGATGATGATTTCTTCGGGTCCGAAGTTTGATATTCCTCTATTCAATGGCAAGACAAATTTTACAGTATGACAGTGCACGATTCAAGATATTCTTATGCAACCGGGTGTTTATCAAGCTTTAGAGGATAAGAAACCTGAAGGATTGAAGGATGCTGAATGGAGTTCTATGCAAAAGAGGGTGGTTACCATAATTCGTTTGGCACTCGCCCCTTAGATCAAGTACAATGTTATGCAAGAGACCACACCAAGAGGGCTCTGGGAAAGACTCGAGGGGATTTATGCATCAAAGTCGATGACCAACCAATTGTGTTTGAGGATGGAGCTTTATTCGTTGAAGATAGAAGAATGTACTGTAATTCAAGACCACATCAATGTCTTTAATCAGCTAGTTGTTGGAGAGCGTGGGAGACAAGACCACGTGAAGAGATGGAATTAAGTGGGGACCACGTTCTCATTTGTGAATTCTTAGCGCGTGGAGGCCCACCCGATGTGACCTGACCTTTGTGCCTATAAAAACCGGCAGCTAGTTTTTTTTATTTGTAGCGCTTGGTGAAAAAGGGGAACTGCGGGGGAATTTTAAGCGGCGGCTGCAAATTTGTGAGCGAAGGCAGAGGGGAGAAAGAAATATTCAGCGGCTTCTCCTTTGGCAGCGATCAAAAGCAGAGGATTAATTCTGACGGCTGCTCTTTAGTTTTAGTATCCCTTTAAGAGAGTATTTGTGTGAGGGATCTGAGAGATTGTTTGACTCTAATAGTAGATCTCCCCCTCCTTACCCCGTGGACGTAGGCAGTTTGCCGAACCAC